CCGGGGCTTCAGCCTCTTCCCCTTGTCTTCCTCTTGACCCATGGTTCTGTCCTCAGCCTCCAGGCCCCTCCCTTTCCTCACCTAACACCGCTCTGCCCACTGTGCCCAGTGGATCAGTCCCACGGGGCCGGCCCGTCTGCCAGGGCGCCTGGTCAGGACGCTGGCTACTAGCAGGGCTTCAGGAACTTTCCTGGCAAAACCCTATGGAGGGGGGCCCCCCTGGTGGCGCCCAGCGGGTTAAAGGGCAGCACTGGAAGCTCTCCGCAGCCACCTCAGCATGAGTTCGATCCCCCGCTTGGGAGCTGACCCACGTGGTTTGGCACACTCCTCCTGTCTCCCCGCTGCTCCCCTCAGTCTGCCCACTCTGCTCCCCACTCTGTCTCTGGTGAATCCTCTCACAGCCCCTGCACCCCACCTCTGCATGCATAAACAAATAAATCCTTAAAAAGAAAAACTTTATGTAGGGATGAGTGCGATAAAGAAGTAAGGTAAAAGTAATAGGGGAGGGGTGGCTTGGTGCCTTTTGCCAAGGGTGGTTAGTCCCGGCTTTGGGGGAGGTGGGGGGTTGGCACTTGTGCACACAATGACATTTGAAGAAGGTGAGGAGATGAGTCATAGGAGGATGTGCGGGGGAGAATGTTCCAGGTCCTCTGAGCCTTAGTGCAGCCAATGCTGAGTCAGTGCTGAGGGCTGGGGGATAGGGTGTCTGAAGCAGCCAGAGCCAGGGCTCCCATCTTCCCTGGTTCCTGGTGCTTTCATGGTTCCAGAGCTGCACAGGGAGGGGTGGGTGCTCCTGGGCAAGGGGGTTGCTTGACCTGCCCCACACTCACCTCTCACGATCCATCAATGCCAGGGCCCAGCTGGAGAAAGCCCTGGAGCAGAGGAACTACAAGACCAAGTTCCAGCTCCTGCTGCACCTGGAGGAGCTGCAGATGGAGCATGACATCCGCCAGTACGACCTGGAGTCGGTGCCCATGACCAAGGACCCCAAGGAATGCAACCCCAGTCTGCTCACGCTGGAGGTCAGCCTCGGCCCTGCAGCTGGCGGCCTCAAGCCGCCATCTGTGGCCTGGCAGAACGCATCCTGACTGCAGGGCAGACGAGGAAGGAACCCCAGAAGAGCCCGCAGGAGCAGACTGGGCGTCCCGGGGTCCTGTGCCCTGAAACCGATATGGAGCAGGGCAGGGGACCCGGGTTTTCGCCCATAATTCGCGTCCCCCAGCTGTGTGGCCTTGGGCAAGTCCCTCGCGCTCTCTGGGCCTTCCTTTCTTATCTGAAAGGCACGGAGCTGAACTCATTATTGTTCCCCAGCTCTTCAGATGTTGAGTCTGTGCACATAAGCCAGAAATAGGTGGGAATGGGCCTTGCACACAAGTTTCAGGGCAGGAGCTTGCTGTAAAAAAGGAAGGATGGGGGTGGCCAGGGAAATCCTGCACCCAGGAGGGTTTCTCAGATTCCTGAGTCAGCATCTGTGTTAGCAACGGGGCATGTCTCCTTCCTGGTTCCCAGGCTCCCTGTCTTACAGGAGGGGAAAGAGGCACCGCTCTCCCCTATCTCGGGGTGCAAGGGTAGAGTGTCAGTCCTTGACCCCCAGTCACTGGGTTGGTCCTCCAGTGCCTGGCTTGGGGCTAGGAGCTTGTTTGTGTTTGCACCCTGTAGGTCCCCGGAGTGGCCGAGAGCCGTCCCTCAGTGCTGCGGGGTGACCACCTGTTTGCCCACTTAACCTGTGAGATGCACCAGGAGAACCCTGTCACCTATAAGGGCTTTGTGCATAGGGTGGAGCTGGACCGAGTCAAGCTGAGCTTTTCCATGAGGTGGGTGTCCTGGGCCGCCAAGGATCAGGGTCTGCAGAGGTCTCTGGAGCCAGGGGCTGAGGGTGTTTCTGTCTGAGATGACGGGGCCTTCCAGGATGGAACAGAGAACGGCTCCTGGGGGAACTCTAGATGCCTTAGCAGCTTCTCCTGGAGGACTTTGCATGGATGTTTTAGAAAAAAAGGGGGTAGAGTCTAGGTAGGCCTGGAAGGCAAGTGCCTGCTTTAGCTTAACTGCTCAGCCCTCTGACTGGAACCCTTTCCCCCTTTTTCCCAAAGTCTCCTGAACCGATTTGTAGACGGACTAACCTTCAAGGTGAACTTCACCTTCAACCGCCAGCCCTTGCAGGTGCAGCACCGCGCTCTGGAGCTGGCAGCCTGCGGGTCCCTGTGGCCTACGCTCTTTCCCTCGGCTGCCTGCAAGGTCCCACTGATGCCCTCAGATGTGAAACTCACGTGAGACAGGGCAGGGGGCTCTGGGGCTGCCGGAGCATGGGCTTATGGGATGGGGTCAGGGAGGCCTCCCTCGCCTGGGTGACCCCATGTCCCGGCCCCTCTGCAGGCTGTACGACAGGAGTCTGGAGTCAAACCCCGAGCAGATGCAGGCCTTGAAGCACATTGTTATGGGCACCACCCGCCCGGCCCCCTACATCATCTTCGGACCTCCAGGAACTGGCAAGACCGTCACCTTAGTGGAGGCCATCAAGCAGGTGGGGCCTGCACCAAGGCCTGGGGCCCACATGCTGACTCCCCCAGGCCCAAGTAGGGAGCCAGAATCTGGGGCCCTTGGGCCCTTGGGCTCCCCGAGTGTCAGCCCCAGAGCTGGCATCCGGGGGCAGCGTGGTGTTGAGCTCCATAGCACAGTTTGGATTGACAGGGCCCTTGGGGGTCACCGCTCACCTTGCAGTCACCAGAGACTTGGGGCATTTACCTGCAGCTGATGTTTGGCGTGAAAATGCTACTAGACTAGCAGGGCTGGCATCAGAACCTGTCTCTTGTGCCACACCACACCAGCCTGGGTCACATCTGCGTCGCTGTCCCCTGCCGATAGAAGCCGCCTCCCACACTTGCTTGTCACCGCCCCCCCCTCAGGTGGTGAAGCTCTTGCCCACGGCCCACATCCTGGCCTGCGCCCCGTCCAACTCGGGGGCTGACCTCCTCTGCCAGCGGCTACAGAGCCACATGTCCAGCTCCATCTACCGCCTCATCGCCCCCAGCAGGGACATCCGCTTCGTGCCCGAGGACATCAAGGTGCCCGGGGGGTGCCGAGCACCCAGGAGTGGTGGGTGCTAGAGCTGGGAAGCGAGGAGACCTGGATTCTGACACACTGTGGCCTTGGGGTGGGTCAGGGCCCTCTCCGGGCCTCGGAGGTTTCCCTGCGTGTAAGCAGAGAGGGGTGAATCAATTGCCTTGGGGGTGCAGAGGGTGAGGTTGGGGTGGGACAGGCTCCTCTTTCCCCTCACAGCCCTGCTGCAACTGGGATGCACAGAAGGGGGTTTATGTGTTTCCTGCCAAGAAGAAGCTGCAAGAATATCGAGTCCTGATTACCACCCTCATCACTGCCAGCAGGTGGGGTGTGTGGGTGTGGGTGTGTGTGCACGTGTACGTAGAGGGCCGGCTGGGAATGGGAAAGGAATCGTGCCTGAGTGGGAGGAGAGGGGAAGGATACGCTGGGATGAGCAAGGGGATGAGCAAGGTGCTGGGTATGACCCCCACCCTGGCCTGACACCTCCCAGGTTGGTCTCGGCCAAATTTCCCATCGATCATTTCACACACATCTTCATCGATGAGGCTGGTCAGTCCGTGGAGTCCGAGAGTCTGGTGGCCATAGCAGGTGAGAGGGTGGGGTATGCCACCCTGCATGGCGTGGGGGAGGCCCCAGTCCTGACCTGTCTCCCATGCTGCCCTGCCTCCCAGGGCTGATGGAAGCCAAGCAGTCGGACAACCCAGGAGGGCAGCTGGTGCTGGCGGGCGACCCTCGCCAACTGGGACCTGTGCTGCGCTGCCAGCTGACCCTGAGGCATGGGCTGGGGTGCTCCCTGCTGGAACGGCTGCTCACCACTAATAACCTGTACAAGAAGGGCCCCGATGGCTACGACTCCCAGTTCATAACTAAGCTGCTGCGGAACTACAGGTATTTCTCTGCGACCTCTCCTGTGCAGGGTCTGCCACACCTCCTGGACTCCTGGCTGCAGTCCCCCCAGACTCCTGTCCTGCCATCTGCCTGCTCTGGGGCTAGGCTGGCGGGAACAGGACACCGGAAGGTCACCATCTCCGTCCCGGCCCCGCCACTGCCACTGCCGGCTGGTTGTATGATTTAGCAAGTGGCATCATTCTAGAACAGTTTGGGGACATTAGGGGATGGTCAGTGGATGGAGCTGGCTGTCCCAGAAGAGATTTCTAGGCAGTCCAGGAAGTGAGGAAATAGGGTCAAAACAGCTAATTGATATTCAAATTCAGGATCTGTATTTCTTTTCATCAAGTTTACACATCCAAAATGCTCAATGAATTCCCAGCCTTAGTTTTTCAGATAAGGTCACCAAGAGTTCCGTAAGGGTTAGCTGTTACTACCTGTATTTCGGAGCGTATCTCATTAAATAATCTGGCTCATGAAGTCCACGGACCAGATCCCCCTCTGGGACACACTGGGTGACCACGTCTGTGACCGGTGGGCAGGACCAAGCATGTAGGTCCAGAACAGGTAGCCAGGGGGGTCCCTGGTTTTGTTCTTCCTCCTGCTGCCTCTCAGGTCTCACCCCCACATCCTGCAAGTTCCCAACCGGCTCTACTACGAAGGGGAGCTGCAGGCCTGTGCCGACCTCATAGACCGACAGCGCTTCTGCCACTGGGAGGGTCTGCCCCAACCGGTGAGGCTGGGCAGGGCGGGGCCCAGGCGCCCCCCGCGACCCCACCCCGCCTTCCTTTGAACTGAAGATGCTCTGGAGGATGGCGAGTGAAGCTGTGGGCCCCTCCCTGGCCACCTCAGCCTGGGATCCCACGTGCCCCGGGAGGGAGGGAGGCAGGCAGGCTGAGGCTCCCCGCTTGTTCTCGTTATCCAGGGCTTCCCCATCATCTTCCACGGCGTAATGGGGAAGGACGAGCGTGAAGGCAATAGCCCGTCCTTCTTCAACCCGGAAGAGGTGTCCACGGTGATCTCCTACCTGAAGCAGCTTCTGCTCTCTTCCTCCAAGAAGGGCAAAGCCCGCCTGAGCCCCCGAAATGTGGGCATCATCTCCCCATACCGGAAGCAGGTCAGACCCTTTGTTCCCATCAAAACCATCAGAAGTGGGAGCCCCCAACGGCACTGCTTCACAGCCACACCACTGGCTGCGCTTCCAGAAGCTCGGGGCCGGCGGCCCGTCCCGCTCGGCCCCTAGCTCTTTAGCCTCCTGCCTGGCTCCCTCTCGCATTGGGGTAACAGCATGGAGGAAAGGCACCTGTCCCCACTTCCAGGTGGAGAAAATCCGCTACTGCATCACCAAACTTGACAAGGAGCTTCGGGGACTGGACGACATCAAGGACTTGAAGGTGACACCACTCTCCTGTGCCCCCTCACTCCCCTACCTGCAGAGATGGCTTCAGGCTCCAGCCCAGCCCGCCGCCCCCTCTGTCACCCTGGAGGCTGCAGATGGAACCGGGCTCTCCCCAAACCTCTCATCCTGAAGGTCCCATTTAGTCCGTCTGGGATGGGCCCAGGTCTACGTGCCTAGCAGTCAGTCACCCTACATGATTCCTGGGACCCAGCCCCTGGGAGGCCTCTGCCCTGAGGATAAAGTTCAAACTCCCAAGCCACCTGTCCGGTCATGTGATGGTGGGTCAGCCAGTAGCCTGACAAAGGTCTTGGCCCTTCACACTGGCTGCAGATAAGAACCACCTTTCATGCTAGTCCTGGCTCCACCCAACCATGTCCAGGCAGGCTGGGAGCCTCTGCTATAGTATTTCACAGCCCCTCAGGTGATCCAGCCTGGGCTGAAAACCAGCACTTTACGATTTAGGGTCCTCGCCCATGGACATCTGGGTCTCGGGGGTCTGGGCAGGGTCCAGGGTTGCGACGTTGCCGACTTGTCAATTAGCAAGCATCTTCTGGAAAGCCTGGAAGCCGCAGCTCTGGGCTGTTGGCTCACCTGTCTGCCTTAGGAGAACAAGGTTCAGCCCCAGCCCTTCTGCTGCCCTCATCTCTGCCTTTGGCAGAGTGGACACTGGGCACGCCACTGTGACAATTCCCTGGAGACATCGCCACCCACCCCGCTGAGTCCCCAAGGCAGGGCTGGCCCCTGGCGCTTCCTTGAGCCCCCGCTCCACCCTTGCCCCTTGCAGGTGGGCTCGGTGGAAGAGTTCCAAGGCCAGGAACGCAGCGTCATCCTCGTGTCCACCGTGCGAAGCAGCCAGACCTTCGTGCAGCTGGATCTTGACTTCAAGCTGGGTTTCCTTAAGAACCCCAAGGTTTGAGGGCTGGCAGGCAGCAGGAATTCTTTCCTCTTTGGGGTCCTTCCCCCTCCTGACCCACCACCTCTTCCTTGCAGAGGTTCAATGTGGCTGTGACCCGGGCCAAAGCCCTGCTCGTCGTGGTTGGCAACCCACTCCTCCTCGGCCACGACCCTGACTGGAACGAGTGAGTACCCCGCCCGCATCCCTCGTGGTGGCCACAACCCCAGGCCAGGGTACAGGTGTCTGTCAGACACCTTGGGGGCTCTGTTGTGGTCATCTTCAGTGTCCCCACTTAAGCCCCCCACCCCACCCCCATCAGCTTGCCCAAGCGCCCAGCCCTCAGCAGCAGCACTCAGGTTTGGATGCTTAACTCCTGCCTGTACCCTACAGATTCCTGAAGTTTTGTAAAGACAATGGGGGGTATACCGGGTGCCCCTTCCCTACCAAGCCGGACCTCCAGCAGGGGCAGTACTTACTGCAAGAACTGAGCAAGCTCAGCGTCTCTACCTCAGGTAGGCCCAGGCCGGGGCGTGGCGGGGGCCGGCGCTGTGGAAGGAGGTAAGGAAAGCAAACCGCACTTTCTCTCCAGGGCCCCCAAATCATGACTACCTTCCCGTCGAGCAGAGGGGTGAAGGCAGCCTGTACCTGCAAGTGGAGCAGGAGTGGAGGAGCGACATCTAAGCACACAGGGCCTTCTCACACCAGCCACGCCTTAACCCCCGGCCTGAACCTGCCCCCAGCCAGCAGCCCTTCAGGGATCGGAAAGGCTGGGAGAGGGAGTTTACACCCCAAGCCATTCCACCCCCTTCCCCTGCTGGGGAGACTCACCCAACAAGCTGCTAACAAATGCAGGGACAAGAAGAAAAACCCTGAAAACAAAACCTTGTTCTATGTAAAAGTTTTTACAGTCTCAGCCTGCCCCAGCTTCCTGCACTCCCAAGCATGTCTGTTCCATCGACAGAAGCGCAGTCCAGGGGAGGAGACCCAGTGCAGGGAAGCCACCCACAGGCTTCTAAGTTTAGCCCCTGAACCAGACCACTCCCCTCACCCGCCTCCCAGGCCTGGAGCCAGGCATGACCTCATCCCTTGCTCCAGGACTCCACCCGGCTGCCCTGAGTCCTGCTGTGCAGACAGGGGGCCGGCAGGCGACTTGCACACAGATGATGGGTCTCCAGGCTCCTGGCCAAGACAGGGACCAGGAGAGAAAGGCCGGAAGCTGCCGCACACTTTGGAGCCTGTGGCCTTTATTCACGCCCCCCCCCCCCAAGGACAGCCAGAGAAAAGGTCCTGTCCATGCCGGAAACAGGAGGGGGGGGGCTGGGGCTTCTCTGGGCTGCACCTTCCCAGCCCCCTACCCCAGATCCCTAGTGAGCCAGAAGTGTATAAAGTGCTGGTGTGTGATAACTCTGGAAGGCCAAAGGGATGGAGAGCCTGGCTGGGGGCCAGGGAGAAGGGGCACCTGAGGGAGGGGCAGAGGCCCAGTTACCAGAGCCCCAGGGGGGGCCAGAGCACCACACTGTTCTCTGGGGCTGGGGCAACGCCATGCAGTCCTGGGCTGGAGGGAACCGGAGGGGCCTTTGGCATGACGCCCTAAGAGGATGCGACCTGGGGAGGACAGGTAGTTTCTGTGCCCCGTGAAGGCAGAGGGAAGGAAGTAGGGGAGTCCTTCTCTGGGAGGCCTCAGAGAAGAGGGCAGCCCTTCCGGCGCTTATTCTTGCGGACCTGGAGGCCGGCCCGGGTGGCCATCTCAAACACCTCCCGCACCCCCTCCTTGGTCTTGGCCGAGCACTCGAGGTAGCCAAAGGCACTGATGCGGTTTGCCATGTCCCGGCCCTCCTCAGACCGCACGGGCTCCTGGGGAAGTAGAAGGTGAGAGGTCAAGGGGAGCTGCTGGCTGAGGGTGCCTCACCCCAAGTAGTGACTGGGAGGATCTCAGGCCTTGAGCCCCCAGCCCCCTGGGGTAGCTTCCTGGCCAACACGCAAATGGGCCACCCCTCCGCACCATGCGGCCTCTGCTTGCCCAGACACCCGACCCACCTTGCTGCCTCTACCCTCTTCTCCTAAGAGCCTGCCAGGAGTCTACAGGCCACTTCACATGCCTTCTGGCAGCTCCCCTGAATAGCTGGCCCCTGGCTAGGGCCAAACAGACCAGCTCCCTCCCTGCCTCTTCCAACCACTTCAGTGCTTCTCACACACCCACACCAGCCTCACCTGCCGCCCCCAGTGAAATGCCTGTTCTAAGCACATGTCCCCAGAGGGCAGGGATGCTCTTTCATGATCGCCCCAATCCAAATATGGCAGGGACAACAGCTGAGTAAGTTAAAGTGCCAAGGGACCTTAGATAAGTCATTTCATTATCTGACAAGTTTCATCAGCTAGTGGATCAGACTCAAGGCTCCATCTCCTAGGTGACCTGTATCACCACCAACACGGAGGTGTCCAGGGAAGCAGCCTGGACAGGGCTACTCGCCCAGGCCTCCTCGGGGCTCCCTGCCGGGCAGCCCACGCACCTGCTTCATCTTGGCCAGCTCTCTCCTGGTGTGCTCATCATGCCTCAGGTCCTTCTTGTTCCCCACCAGGATGATGGGCACGTTGGGGCAGAAGTGCTTTACCTCCGGGGTCCACTTCTCGGGAATGTTTTCTGCGCAGACATGGCCCAACAGGTTGGCACCTTCACTTCGGTGAGAACGCTTCCCCCCACCTCCAAAACCTTCCCACAGCCGTCTCAGAGCTACTCACAGTTGAGGCCCCCACACCCACGGGCGCCCCCCACGGCCTCAGCCTCTGAAGATGACCAACATGGGTCAGAGCAAGAGCTCCCTCTGGTTGGCTGACCTCAAGGGTTCTATGCTTGCTTCCCGGCACCCTCACCCCCAGCTCACCCAGGCTGTCGGGGCTGTCGACAGAGAAGCACATGAGGATAACGTCAGTGTCCGGGTAGGAGAGAGGCCGCAGGCGGTCATAGTCTTCCTGCCCCGCCGTGTCCCACAGAGCCAGCTCCACCTGACACACAGGCCGCTGAGTGTCCCTTACCCCCACCTCCACACAGAGGAGCCCCTGAAGCCACCAGTCCTGCAGGCTCACTGCGCATCCGAGCCCAGCTCGGCACCCTCGCCCAACGCGAGTTAGGTGGGCTTTGGAAGAGCCCTGAGAGGTCAGTGCTTGACCTCTGCCGCCATGAACCCTGCTTCCCTGAACCCTCAGGAAAACCCTTTTGGGAAGGTTTTGTTTCCCGCCACCCTACCACTGGGGGAGCTTAAGCTCTGGGGCCCTGGATTACAGAGCCAGGGGGTGGTGCCAGGTTTCCCAAGGCTGAGGAAGTGAGAGCTTGCTCCCTGACTTTTACTGGTTCCAGCAGGGAGGCCGGAGCAAGGTCTAAGACCAGAGGGCGGGCGGCGGCCTCACCTGCTTGCCATCCACCTCTATGTCTGCAATGTAGTTCTCAAAGACTGTGGGAACGTAGACCTCTGGGAACTGGTCCTTGCTGAAGACGATGAGGAGGCAGGTCTTCCCACAGGCACCGTCCCCCACAATGACCAGCTTCTTCCGGATGGCAGCCATGGCTGGGGCTGGCAGAAAAAAGGCAGTGGGGATTTGGGGAAAAGCCATGAAATGCAAAAACGCTTCTCTGGGTCCCCAAGACCTCCCTTGAAACTGAGGTATCCAGAAAGGGAGGCCAAGGGGCCTGCTCAGACATGTTCTTGTCAAGAATCAATTGTTCAGGCAACTGAGCTGGAAATTCCTGGTCTGGGTCCGGGACAGGTCTCCCCAGTGGGAACGCACTGTCCCTCACTCGGCTAGAGTTATGCCTGCTCGGCCGCAGATGAGGCCTTCTCTCCAGGACCGCAGGTGAGCAGGCCCAAGTGGGGTGAGGTAAGGAGGTTCAGCCAGTCTTCTTGACAGTCCTCCCTCGGCCTGCAGGACTTGGAGCTGCTCCAGTGTGAGCAGCGAGGCTCGGGGAGGTTGAGACACCTCAGCCGTGGCAAGGAAGCACTGAGAACAGGGCTGCCTGACTAGCATCCCATGCCCCACCTAGGGATCACCCCAGAGGCAGGCAAGGAGCGCTAAAGGAGCGGAACCCAGACGGGACAGTGGGTGCAGCCAGCCAAGCTTCCCTGGCCCATCCCATCTGGGTCCCCAGAGCCCCAAGTCACACAAAGGAGGCTCAGTCCTGGCAGTGCCCACAGCCCGCATTCGGGCAGCCTGCCTTCCTCCCCCCTTCCTCCTGGCCTGGCAGCCACACTGGGTCACTCAGCTTCAGGCAGGGGACAATGACCACACTGTAGGGAGTCACACATTCACCGCAGCAGGGCAACTGAGAAGAACCCACTGGGGGTCACCTCCACCCACTCTGGAACAGCCGCTTCCTCCCACCGTCCAGCTCACCGAGCAGGGCTCACTCCTCCCTGTGACTCAGGCCAAGGAGTCAGCTTCCTGTGTGGCCTGGTGTCTCCCACCCCAACACTCATGAGTGAGCATCTGCACAGTCCATCACACCTTCCCAGCTCACTGCCCTGGAGCAAAGCTGCCCTTCCTCCCAGGGTTGGGGGGGTGCTTCCTCCCGGGGTTGGGGGGAAGCGTAGGGGAGCATAACACAGTTGCCAACCTCCAGCCAGCTAGGTTCTTAGGCCTTCTGCAGCCTGGGAGGCAGAGGGCAGGCCCTGGAGCTGAGAAGCTGAGATCAAGTCCAGGCAATAGGGAATGCCAGAGGTGCTCTTGCCGCCCCCCCCAAAAAAAAGAAAAAGGAAAAAAACGAGGGGCTGTCACGGAAACTACCAGACAGGGAGTGGTTAAGAAAGAAAGCAATGGTAACCTGATCTCTGCCCCAAGCCCGGCTTTTCTCTGAGTCCCACATCCTGTCACACGGGGCTGAGCTAGATTTCTCAGAGCCCCACCACCTCCCCTGGGGCGTCTGCCTTCAGGAAGCAAAGCTCCAGGCCGGCCCCAAGGATAGTTCTCTCCAAAGGTGAGATCCTGGGGTGGCCCCCTGCCGCCTCTACACACAGGCACAAGACTGGGATGAGGAGGAGTGGTCAGGAACCTATAGGAGGGGAGACTACAGTCACACTCACTTCCTCAAAAGGGGTTCACCCTAGTAACCCCCAAAGAGAGGCCAGGTGTGCACTCTGCCAGCAGATCCCCTCCAAAAATGGAAGCCATTCTTCGAAGGGGGGTTCCCTGTAACTAACTCTGACCCACTCCCATCGTGTAGCTTGGTCCGGCTACAGGAAAGCAGGCTGGGGTGGCCTCAAGCCAGGACAGGCAGTGTTGATGGAGGGCAGTTTGGTTGGCATTAAGGGGCAGACGTCAGTGGGGGCCAGAGGCCGGCACTGGGGAACAAGGACCTGCATTAAGTGACTTGGGGTCCACAGATCAATCCGAAGACGCTCCCTTGAGGCTCTGGTTGGGCCAGAAGAGGAGCTGGCCCAGGCCTGGACACGGCCCAAAGCCAAGGTAACAAGAACAACAACAGATCCCCATGAGGGCCGGCCCCAGAGGCACTGCCCCGCAGACTCTTAAGTGGGGAGAGCAAACCCCACACGGGGCCTGGAACAGGGCCTGCAAGTCCTCAGGCCCCGCAAGTCCTGGGGCCGTTGCTGAACAGAGACATCTGCCTGCTCCTCACCCTTGCTCGAGACTTCCAAGGCCCCAGACCCTGAAGCCCACCCCTGCGGTCTAAGGAAGGAATCGGCGACCACATCTCAGCTGTAAAGCCAGAACCGAGGGCAGGACTTCGGGTCCAAACTCCCGGATGACC